AGGACATGTCTTGGGACTGGAGGTGCACCTGGGAGAGAGGGATAGAATGTAGAAGGAAATGAGAATATGTGAGGGGCAGCCTGGATAGCCTCTCACAAAGGAGCCAAGGAAACTGCTAAGGATGGAGAAGGTGGCTTGGGACAGCAGGTCACATCCCTTCATTGTGCCATGGCTCTACAAAGAGCAGTGTGACCCAGGGAGACTCTCACAGGCTGTATAAATCTAAAGCCGTGTGAGCTGTTCCAATCATTCTCTATGCGCACCTTATCCCGTCCATGGTCTCCCATAGCAAGAACCTCCACTATCTGATTGACTCTTGAGGCATAATCTGACTTTGCAAGAGGAGGAGGAGAGAGGGCTTCACACTTTCCTGGTTCCCAGTGAGGAGACAAGAGGATGGCAGAGCTGGGATCTGGGCTGCCTTTTATACTGGTCCTTCATTGCTGCAAGCCAAGAGGCATCACTGGAACAGGCAATAATTTTATGACAAGCCCACAGTGAATGCGAGCCATCCCTGCTGAGTTTTGGTTTCCTGTGCTGCTTTTTCATTTCCAGATTTTTCCTGTGTCCATTCTCCAATGAAGGATTCTTTGAAGTGCTGCAATGAAAGGCCCAAAGATTTGTAGGGCAGGATTGCACTGGTGAGGCAGATGACTCAGCTTTAGTGCTGGATGGGTCCAGAGCAGGCAAGTGACATCAACCTTGTTCTCTGCAGTGGAGCTCTTTGAAGTGTCATTCTCAGGATAAGCTCCTGAGAGCACCAGCTGGATACCCAAGGCTTCCTGTACATGAGGATGTGCCTTGTTCTTCTCTTTATCTGCCTCCTCAGCTCACTCTGATGGCCATTTGATTTGGCTTTCCACCGTGTGAGTTTTCTGCTGGGATTTAACCCCATGCCATGTAGCACTGTCCTCTAGAAAACTGTTTTTGACAGTTTCATTTTGTGCATTCTCTGTGCAACCTGTCAGTTCACAAAAAATGTCACAGATTCATAGAATAATTTGTGTATGAAGAGTCCTGAAAGATCGTCTAGTTCCAACAACTTCTACAAACAGGGATTCTTTCCATTGTATGTGGGTGGCTGGACTGGATGACCTCAGAGGTCTTTCCCAACCTTGGTGATATTCCATGATTCTATAACTAAGGATTTATTCCTCAGCTTCAAGAGATCCACCCTCCAGTGCCTAGGGGGCTGACGGAGTGCAAAATTGTTCTCCAAGGCCATCTCTGTGCAGGTTTATAGTCCACATAGGGATAAACTCAAGGATGCAGCAAAGTGGAAGCCTCTTTTTCTCCATCCCAACTCACTCCAATGGTCTCATGTGATCAAAAGTCCAGGTAGGTGGGCTGGACTGCTGGGTTTCAGTTCTCTTTCTCATTCATCTGCCATCTGGAGGAATTGTTGGACCTATGTACACAGAGTTGGCCTGACCATGTGCACATGCCCAATAAGTCCCAAGGCCCATTTTTTTCCCTCTGTGTACTGGTGTCAGGAGCTGTTGCAGCCTGGGTACCTCATTGTCTGAAGAGATCTAGGGAAGGCTGGAGTGTTTGTGTTTAGCTGATTAGTGCCAGCAGTCCAGATCTACTATTTCTCTGAAGCCTCCCTTCAGTTCCCAGCACCCATCCACTTCCTTAAGACCTTCCTGTTTCCTGACCCAGGGGGAAAGAAGTTTTGTCATGTATTTATGATTGTTTGGTTATTGTCATAACATCATACAGTGCAGCAGAGGGTCACTCCCAGTTTAAACAGGAGATAATGCTCCAGTTCCATAGATCGTGAATAGTTTCAGGTACCTGCTTCTTAGAAGAACTACGTACTACATACCCCAGAAGGCTTTGGTTTTTTGTGTTTCTGTTTTCCATTCAGATGGAAAAGATAACAACCATCCACAAATCACTTGCCCCCTTTTCAGTCATCTCATCTCTGTTGCATGTGCCATCTTGTCACAGCATCAGAGAAAGGCCTTTGGCTTTTTATTTGATTTATTACCTACAATTCTAAGTATATTGTATTATATTGTACTGCAGTGTGATATCTTGTGTTCTGAGATCTTATTTGGTAAACTAGGTTGTTTCTACACAGATTGTTGCCACTGCTTTGTTTTTCATCCCATCTCTCTGCCCTTTTCCCCCTTTTCCTTTTTTCTCTTTACCAGGGTGTGGGTCTGCGTGGACCCCTGCCTCACTAGTAACAGAACCGGGCCAAAGCAGCATGTAAACTGTTGGCACTGTGCTTCTCAGGTGCTCAGCTGTACTTCAAGCAACAACACAAGACAAGGAAGGCACAGCAGGTGCCATGGCAAAAAGGCCATAGCGAGAGGCAGTCAGGATGGTTGAGGCTGGAAGATGGTGACATCCTGGAACAGGAAAGAGGCCCTTGTTTTAGTCACAGACATGCAGCTTCAGAAGAGGCACAGCCCCCTGGGCACTGGGGACAACAAGCAATCCATTGCAGTGGCTCATCAGAAGTGGCTGAACTCAAACCCTATGACTACAGGAAGAAGAAAAGGTGTGTGAGAATTAAGGAGACATCTCCCTTGGACAGTGGATTCTCCAATTTGCTGAAGTCTTGTGTTTGTTTTCCTTGGCAGGGATTACCACCTGGGATGCTGCAGAGGGACTCCCAGGGCTTGTCTGCATATCTGTGTTACCATCCCATGCAGCTCTTCCACGTGAGCCTGCTTCCAGACAGCGGTGACTTTAACCACCCCATTCTGCCCCAGGGGCAGAATGGCTGGACACCAGGAATTCTGGAGATTTCTGAAATCAAAGGGAGACAACATTTATAATCCAGATAGCTGATGGAGTGATTAAGAGAAACTGTTTATTGGAACTCTTCCTCACAAACAAGGAGAAACTCTTGAATATGGTATGAAGAAAGGACAGCCTTCACTGCAGTGACCATGAGTCTGTGCATCTTAAGATCCTGAGAGGACTGACCAAGGGCAGAATTGCAATCACGAGCTTCAAAAGAGTCATCTCAGGCTCCTTAGGAAGACATGTGGCAGAAGATGGAAACTGCCCTGGAGGGGAAAATGCTGGAGAGCTGGCTAATCTTTGAAGGCAGCCTCCTCAAAGCACAAGACAAGCCCACTCCATATCCATGCGTATTTAAGAGACACCAGCATGAAGTCACACGGAGCTCCTCTCTGAGCTGAAGAGAAAAAAAATGAAATAAAATTTAAAAAGAGAAAATACACAAAAAGTGGCAGGCTAACTGTGAGTAACCCTGAGACTGCTGCCCATGCAAAGATGCAGTAAGGAACACACAGCTCAGCCTGAGTTACTTACCAGGGAAGAAGAGTGAGAAAAGCGTCTGTAAGTCCATTCTTGCAGCAAAAAGAAAGCTAAGGAGATTGTATGTGCTTGGCAACATGAGAAGAGGGAAATAGTGAGAAGAAAATTCCTAACATAATTTACCCTTCTTTTTCCTCCATTTTCATAACAAGTCATCTAGACAGACCTACAAGGCCCCTAAATTTCATTCATAGAATCCATGGGAGTTGATATATTTAACCCTGTAAAGGAACAAAATGTTATGGAGAACATAATCCAGTTGGACATACTTGTACCCTTGAGATGAGATGCCAAGCCTCCAACAGTTTTTGTTGATAGATGTAGTGATGCTGCTCTCCTTCACTCTCAGGGGTCATGACGCTTGGGTGATGGCAGCCATCACTAGGAAAGAACAACATACATCAAAAAAGTCTTTAGAAAGACTGAGAAAGGGAATTCAGGGAAGTCTGGCCAATTGTACTTCATTCACTCCTTGATCAAGTGTGTGCCTTGGAGCAGATGTCTCTAGATGCCATTACATGACATCCAAAAGACAGCGAGGTGGTTTGGAGCAGCCCGGGGCGGAGCTGGCGGCGGCGGCGGCGGCGGAGAGGAGGCGGCGCGGGCGGAGCAGAGCCGGGGCTGGCGGGGCAGCGCGGCGCGGGCGGCGGAGCGGCGGGATGCGGCAGTGCCGGGCCGCGGGGCTGGCGGGGCTGGCCGCGGTGCTGCTGGGTGCGCAGGGCTGCCGCCGGCGAGGCCGGACTGCGGGGCTGCGGGGGGACGGGGTCGCGAACGCCTCTGTACGATTGGCATCTCTCTGACCTCGAACACCTCTGTCTCCTCCTGCATGAAATTTCTGTGGAAGAAAATGGATTTTCTGAGTTTGCTGCTGCTTCTCTTCTCGGCAGCGGCTGTGAGCAGAGCTCAGGTGCAGCAGGAGCCGGCGGCAGAGACCAGAGAGGGCACAGGCGTCAACATCACCTGCTCACACCCCAACATACAGTCCAACGAGATCATCTACTGGTACCGTCAGCTCCCGGGCCGAGGACCCGCATTAATCGTCAGCGCCGTTAAAGGCTTCAAGCAGGTGTCGGACCCGGAGGGGCAGCTGTGGGTGTCGGCAGACCGCCTCTCCAGCGTCCTGCGGCTCGCCCGGCCCCGGCTCGGGGACGCGGCGCTGTATTACTGCGTGTTGCTAGCACGGGGAGACGAGCCGGGGCTGCGGCCGGGCACGAACCGCTTGGGGCGGGGCGGGGGCACAGTGCCGTCCGGGCCCGCAGGGGGCGCTGCCTGCATGGCCGCCAAACTCCATCCTGACCGGGGTGCGCCGCCCTGAGTTCTCGACAGAAACGAGCGCTGCACCCATAGCAGCCACTGACTGAGTCCAGTTTGAGTCAGATAGTTATGTCCGAAGTGAGTAGGACAGCACAACTGATAGCACTTGCTATGTTTGACAGCAGAGGGACATCCACACAATTTTATTCCAACTTCCATCTTCACATTCTTCCCCTCTGTCACAGTGATGAGAGCAGGTGGAGCTCTGTTCTTGGGAGCCTGCAGGGTGGTTTGCCTCCGTGGCCTCCCACACACTCCTAGTTATTCCTGTGAGCACAGCAATGTCTTTGTTCTCTCTTTGCTGGATGTGTGAGGGTCGTTGTTGGAAGAAACACGGCAAGGCAAAGGCTGGTGACCACATCTAGTGCCCAAGAGAGGAGCCTCTTCAGGATGTCACAACTTCCCACTCTTCTGGGAACTGAGACTGGTTTTCTTAAACACTCATCTTACAGCCAATCTCCCTGAGCATCTCTGGAGGCCATACAGAGTGGGAATCACAGAATCATAGAATTGCTTGGTTAGAAAAGACCCTCAAATCATCATGTCCAACTGCAACCTAATCACACTACCCTAGTTCTACTAACTAACTAGCTACCCTAACAATCCTCCACTAAATCATGTTCCACATCCAGATGGTCTTTCAGGGATGGTGACTCAACCACCTCCCTGGGGAACCAATCCCAGTGCATAAAAACTCTTTCTGTAAAAAAATTCTTCCAGCCTAAACCTTCCTGGCACAACTCAAGGCCATTTCCCCTCAGCCTGTCACCTGTCACCGGTGAGAAGAGACCAACCCACAGTGGAACAGAGGCTCCACAGATCAGGATTCGCTTGATTTCCTGATGGAATTCATGCAGGACATGTGCCTGCCTTTCCAGCAGAGGTTGGTTTGGTTCTGGGGATCTTCAGAGTTCAGAAGAGAGTAGGAGGAAAAAAAAAAAAAAAAAAAAAAAAAGCAAAAAAAAAAATTGGAGAAAAACAGTAGAAAGAGGTAGGTGGAGGAATAGAAAGCTGAGACACAAACCAGGCTTTCCAAAAGCCCAGACTTCCCTTTCCATCCAGTCCTGATCCAGGTCTATAAATATCTGAGGTGTGGGAGGCAGAGTGGCGATGCCAGACTGTTTTCAGCAGTGTGTAGAGACAGGACAAGGGGGAACAGCCAGAAAATGCAGCATAGGATGCCCCACATAAAAACTTCCTTAGGTGAAGTGACGGAGCACTGGAACAGGCTGCCCAGGGAAGTCATGCAGTCTCCTTCTCTGGAGATGTTCAAGACCCACCTGGACACCGACTTGTGCGACCCGGTGTAGGGAACTGCTTTGGCAGTGGGTTGGACCTGATGATCTTTGCAGGTCCCTTCCTACCCCTACAATTCTGTGATTCTGTGATTTCCTAGAGCAGCTGAGGGTGATCAAGTATTCTGAAAGCAGGGTCTTGAAGATTCCTTCTTGATCCAGCGCCATATTTGCTGTTTATGGTAGAATTTCTCCGGGACCACCGGCTTCAGCAGGGCGGGCACCTTCTGCCACAGGAGCGGCTGCCCAAGCCGGACAAGTCAAAGCCCCCCGAGGTGATGGGCACGCCCTCAGAGCTGAGGATGCGGCCAACAGCAGCGGAGGTGGAGGAGCCCACGGCGGTGTTCTGCGGGAAGGAGCTGAGGATGGGTCCGGGCAGGGTCACCACCACGGGAGAGGGCTGGATGATGATGGTGGAGTTCTGGCACTGCCTGACACAGGGCTCATTGCAGCTGCTGGTCAGAAGGGTCTGGATGTATGGCCAGAATGGCAGGCAATTAGGTTAGTCCAGACAGTTTGTAGGTGTATCAAAAAGAGATCTTTGTGGGAAATATATATATATAAATATAGACAGATAGATAGATAGATAGATAGATAGATAGATATTGTAAAGAGAAGTGAGAGTAAGAGTGAGTAGAAGAGAGAAATTGTAGACATGCAGCATTTTGTTGGAGAAACCAAGGTAGCCTCTTCCTGTGTCTTTGCATAGCAAGCCAAAGATGTTCAGCTATTCCTAGAACAACAGCTCAAAGATTGTTCTTTCCATTGCCATGTTGTGAGATCCTGAGGGTCTTTGCAACAATGTCCATCATCTTTACTGAGGAGACAGTGTAGGCCCAGGGGGTGACTGGCACTCCCTGGCAGCTGAGGATGCTGCCAGCAGCAGTGGAGGTGCAGGATCCCGGAACAGTGCTCTGTGGGAAGAAACTGAGAATTGTGTCAGGCAGGATCAACACTGCAGATGAGAGCTTGATAGCAGTGGTGGAGTTCTGGTACTGCTTGACACTGGGATCTTTTGAGCTGCAGTTCAGAGGTTTTGGGCTGCAGGGTTGGCATGGCAGGCACTGGTCTCAGCACACTTCTTGATGTCAGAGATGCAGTTAGGAGAGCAGAGCTGGAGGAAGCAGGAGATGGATGAAGACCACTTTGGCACCACACCATGAGGGAACAAAGGCATATGTAGTGCCAGGACCCAGGAAGTGCCACTAGGTCCTAAATAGCTACCACTAAGACCCTAGATTGGCACAGGTCCAGCCTCTCTCCATGCCAGATCTCCCCGTTTTCTTCATGACAAGCAGTCCCAAGATTTGGCACAGAACAAAGCTGATAGCAGTTGAGAAGTCCATTGAACTGAGATGTCCATTGAGCTGAAAACTCCTTATGGAGAATGAGGGGTACAAGGTGGGGCCTCACACTCACCATATTGCCTACAAGGAGGTAAGAATAGGGGATGAGAGAGAAAGGAGCTGGCTACCCTTTTCAATGGGCCTAATCTGCCCCATATGAAGAGGCATCCTTTGTAGCTGTGATTATTTTCTGACAAGTCCCTCTTGAATACATAACTTTGTAACTAATGATGGGGGCTGTTGTCACAGTTTCATGTGTGACAGGGAAAGGGATTTCCTTTCTCCCCTCTTTCAGAGAGAAGGAAATAGAAATTAAGATAATTAAGAAATTAACCCAATTAAGATAAGGAGAGATAACAAATTTACTACGAGCAGTAAAAATATGAAAGAGAGTTACAATTAATAACTCAAATGAGAGAGAGAGAGGGAAAGGCTGTGACCATGCTGTTGGAACCCAGAATGCTCTCAACCCAGACTCAGAGATCACGTAGGGAACAGTGGAGGTTCATGGGATAGTAGTTTCCTTGGAGTGTCAGAACTCAATTGAACTGCTTGAGAGCACAGGAGCAGAAGTACAGCTCTGCACTGCACTGTGCCTCCGCACCCAGTATCCTTCTGCAAGATGATACGGAACACTGATAAAACCAGTACATCTGTGCACTGGCTTCCTACACTGCTGTATTATATATTATGCCATTCCCATTCCCCAGTAAAGGCATCTTTTGAATGGCAGGAAAAGTAGCCCAAGCATTCCAAGAATGTCCAGGCAACACCTGTAATCGTGGTATTTTTACTAAGACAAAAAAGAAGAGAAATGGAAGCAGACTGAGCCAGCAGAGAGCCTTCTGATTATCTTTTCTCAAGAAGTCAGTTAATTAGCCTTGAATTTCCTCACCTCTCTTAATGAGATCCCAAAATAATCAGTACACCCTTGGTGTAAAACACACGGTATCTAGGCTTGCTTTCTGCCACAAGTGAAGGTATTTTGAGAAAAACTCACAGGCCTGTTTCCTCACAAAAGGAAAGAAGGAAAGAAAAAGGAAAGAAACCTTTGTGTTGTAGAAACACAAAGGATGTGGAAAAGATGGAAGTAAGTTCTTCTCAGAAGTGCACAGTGATCAGATGATAATCATACCATTTAGAGCCATGTAAGTTCAGATGAGCTATTGGAAACTCTTTTTCTTTCTTCTAACCCTGAAAATCCTTAGGCAGTGCAGTAGGTGGTCCAGGAATCCTCATCTAATGAAATCTTCTCCAAGTTGAGAATCTGAATGAACCAATTCTACTAGTCCTGTCCAACCCAAATAATTCTAAGATTCAGTGGGAAGGAAGAAGAGTAAGAACAGTTGCATTTTCTATGTTTGTTATAGGCTGGAAGGAAGAAGTGGACAAACAGAGATTACAACAGGTTTATGTGTGGAAGGGATTTTTTTTTAAATTTTTATCCCAATGATCTTTTAAGAAAGCAGACTTTGAGATGGGATGAGATAGCTCTGCAGTATTTTTTTCTAACATATAGTTCAGAGTATGTTTTTATTCTTCTTCTTTTTAACATTATTATTCTATTACAGAGATTTGATGAAGTCCTTTAGAGACTCTACAGCCCTTGTTGGAGCCTAGTTCCTCACTTCAGTTGCATATTGGCCCACTCCAACCAACCACGGACAGACACCTGGGACTGCTTTACTGCAAGGTTCCTTGCCTCTTTCTGGGGACCTGGGGAAATTATACTGTTGCCAGGCGATGGAGGAAGGAAAAGGGAGAGGTGGTATAAATATGGGGGGGACATCTGTTCCCATAAGAAAAGCTACAATTTCCAAATAACTGGAGTCCTGAGGAGAGGGTAAGTGGGGCAGAACATCAGAAACTCTACAGTGTCCATTAGGCAAGTACTAAAGAGCAGATATTTATTGCAACAGATGGGAGGACTCCACTGGAAGCTCAGATCAGGAACACAGCCTCCCTGGCACGGGTGCTCCAGAGTCACCACATCTCCAAGCTGTGAAGATTTAGGCTGAGGAAGAGACACGTATAACAGCTGAAGGAGGGAGGACCCCAACACCAGCCATGCTAAGGACAAGCGTATTCTCCTCCTCAATTTATTCTTTTGGTCTCTTTGCCAAGTCGTTTCCTGCAGCTCTGCAGCTTTGTTCTCTTAGGGCTCTTGGTGGAGATGTGTGTTTTTCTGAGGCTCTCTGACACGTGCAGAAGGATCAGTCTCAGCACGCACCTCAGATATCTCATCATCACTGCCTGAAGCAATCACTGACTTTAGCTGATGACGTTTCTTCTCTCCTGGAGACTCTTTCCCTATCAAATTCTCTCCTCCAAAAACTGCTCTTGAATTATTGGGAAAAAAATGCTGGGAAGCATTAGATCATGCCTTGGTTTTTCCACCAGTTTTCTCATGATGCTGTTAATGCTAGAAAAGAAAATATGAGGCAGAGAAGACCATCTCAATCATCTCAGACCTCCTTCCAGTCCTTCCCTCTTACCAACCATTCTTGTCCCTTTGCCTGTCCACACTGATCTGTGTGGGCCCAGTGTTTCACATATCATTGCAGAAGCCTTTTTCTATTCTTCAAATATAATTTTTTTGGCTTGGCAAGATACTCACAGACGACAGCTCAAATTGGATGCAGGAGCCTCTCATCCCACTTTGGTGTTCTGTCAGCCTCTGTTTTGTCTGACACGTAATAGAGCATGCACTATGCTCTATTTCCTTCTGCATGCCAGCACTAGCAGAGCTTTCTTTTCCCTCCCTTCCTTGAGATTAGGTCCATCTGAGGGGCAATGGAAGGGGTACCCAGCTCTCTCCTGGCAGTGCTGCTTCCTCTGAGCGCTCATAGATCTGCAGAGAATCCTTGACGGAGAGCAGCTCAAGACGCCTGGGACAGACGGGCTTAGGCTCTGGTGGCGCAAGAAGCAATCTTTATTGTTGTTACAGAGTTTTTATATTCTTTTAGCTACAGGAGTATACAATACTTAAATCAGATAACATTCATGCAGCTGACAGCAATACATCATTACTTAATTAGCCCTTTGTGGATTATGATCAGTACAGTGATCAAAAGGCATTCTCTTCGCAGAACATGTTCTGCTCTTGGTCACGGAATGAAGAAGCTGTAGCTTATGCTTGCCAGTTTCACATGGCAGTCCTTCCCTTTCAGGAGGGGCCGCGTGTTCCCTGTTTGACCCTTTCAGGCCAGCCAGGTCTGTTTTGCTTAACAGTCTTCTTCATTCCACCCTTTTTTATTTTATTAGACCAGAGGTGGTGGTGGTTTATTTTTTGTGTTTTCCATCTCCAATTTTTTAAGATTTATACGTAATTTTTGGAATCTATTTGTTATCATTTTCATCAAGCATGGACAAGCAAGAATTCCTATGATTATCATTATGGCAATGACTATCAGCCCATAAATTCCTTTTCTAAATGATTTGAAGGACGGAAATGCAGATTTTAGAGCACTTATAAATGTAGTAGTTTGAGTTGCTACTGAAAGATCTATATGGTGTGATTGTATCATATCGTGAATGTGCTGTCTCAATTCCCTAAGATCTAATGATGTGTTTGCATTATTCCATATGCCTTGAAGATGATCTTGTATTTTGTTCCAAGAGAATTTGGTATTATTGTATTCAACAGGAGTCACACAGATAGCTCGGTATTCTGCATGACACAAGAGAGATTCACGAGTAGCTATAATTTGTAACTGTCTTCCCAGGATGTCTACTGTATCTTTTAAGGAATTGAGACGCAGTTCAATCTTTTCATCCCATGTAGCTTGATTTTGTAATGCTTTAGATACATTAATTGATAATTCATTAACATAAGCTGCTGTCTGAATACTAGTTGTTAAAGAAATAGAAGCTACTGTAGTTACTGCTATGGCAGCAATGAGCGCAGCTATTCCGGCTATTATTAATCCGACCATTCGCTTAGATCTCTGTATCAATTGCAAAGAAGTTTCTTGGAGAATTTCCATTCCCTTATCAGCATACCAATAATGTGTCAAATTTACAGGAAGATAGACATAATCGGGTTGCTTCACTAACAAGAAGGAACTACTGCTACTATTAAGACAATTAGAGATTACACAATCGGTACAACTCACTATGCTATTCACAATACTTAGCGGTCCGCTTAAAAAGGCATAAGGTTCTGGAACACAAGCTCGCATATAAAACTCAGTTGTATGACTCTCTGCAGTCATTGCCCATTTATTATTTATTTGAATCCAAGTCAAGTTTAATCGTTTTGCTTTGATTTTTTCCATGGCTGCGACTGCTTTCCATAAATTAGAATAGAACGTATGATTGTTTTTTGTCCAAATTCCTGAGACCAAATTAATTGGTCGCCCTTGATTTCCTATCATATTCCAATCACAGATAGTGGAATCAATGCACACCGTTTCGTTAGCTCGACATGCTCTCCATAAAGGTGCAAATTCTGTTTTTGGAGTGATTGTGCTTTGACATAAAGGAAAATTTAAGGGAGGCGTTCCAGAACCCCTTGTCCCATTAGCTAAATCTATATAGAGAAAATTCAGAGCCCAATGAATTCCTGTTGAAACGTTGGTATCCCAATCTTGCTGCACTACCACTTTCTCACACAGGGATTGTGTTTGATTTATCTGAAAACATATAGGCATACCATCAACCTTTCCAGAATAATTAAAACTTGCAGAGAACTCTATTATGTGTCCATCTGAATATTGAATATCTGAATATCTGAATATTGAATTGAATGATAGGAGGATTGGGTACAAATGCCCAAATATGTTTCTGCATCACAGCCATGATGTAGGATCCAAAAGGTACTAAGGATTAGGGCCACGAGTCGTATTCTCACTTGCATCTTTCTTTCCCATGTCTGGGTTAGTGTCAGTCTCTGCATCTTCCTCCGCAGTTTTCCCATCTTGGTTTTCGGCATGTCGAATGAGTCGTTCAGGGATCCACCGTGGTGATGGCTCATCTGTAGGGAAGATACAAGCATACCCTCTGCCCCAAATTAGTACAGGATCAGGAACATAAGTTTTACCATCCATTGGATTTCTCCAATATACTATTGGTTTATCTCTTGTTTTATTACTCCAATGTCTATCCGCAGCCAATTTTCTGTCATCATCCAATGTCAAAAAATTTAGAACAAATAATGCATGTGATAACATAGAGGACGGAGTATCTTTAATTCCTCATGTCCCCCTTTTTATTTTCTTTAGTTGAGTTTTCAGTAAATGATTAAATTTTTCTACTATGCCTTGGCCTTCTGGATGATGTGGAATTCCAGTTTTATGGTAAATTTTAAAATGTCGACAAAAGGTTGCAAAACCGTTACTTACATAAGCTGGCCCGTTATCGGTTTTTAATGATTTCAGTGTTCCCATAACGCTAAAATAATGCAAAAGATGGTTGCATACATGAGAGAGTTTTTCACCAGACAAGGCTGAGGGCTACTGCAAAGTGAGAGAAAGTGTCAATTGTTACATGGACATAAGAAGATTTTCCAAAAGAAGGTACATGCGTGACATCCATCTGCCATAAATCATTAGGCATTAATCCTCTGGGGTTCACTCCAAAATGAGGAACTGGTAATAAAGGGGCACAAGAAGAACCGTTCCGCATATTCGGAAGTCCAAAGCAAATATTCACCTCCACTTAACACAGCCTTTGCCAAGCTTTTCCAGTCAGAAGGGGGAAGAATATTAGCAGCTTTAAGTTCTTTCAGTTGTTTAAAAGGAATAGGCTCAGAATCATTCAGAATGCCACCGTTTGCAAGTTGACGCTGTATGACAGGGAAAACTTGAGACGGAAAAAGTTGCTCAGAAAATTCATCTATTGTTTCCTCAGCTTTCCTAGCTTCTTTCAAAGCCAATTGCATAGAGGATTGTTGCATAAGCAAAGCATCTACACCCGGTGGTGGAGGCATTCGCCCTGCTCGAAAGGCAGGCAAAACAGCAAGGGGATGTGATCGAGCCTGATCGACTATCTGTTGTGTCTGCACAGCGGCATTAGCAACCTGTAACGCTGGGAATACAGCCGCTAAATCCTTATGGTGATATTCAGCAGCCTCTTTTTCTAATTCTCCCCAATCATCAGGGGGTAAAATATCCTTTGTTATGTTAGTGCCAGGAGGTTTACAAGGCGGCAAGTCGTTTGCTAATTTACAAATCAAAGGTTGCTCATATTGGGGAGGGGAGGGTGGGGGTGCTGATGGCATAGACGAAGGGATATGATCAAGAGATTTTGATCGCGGCAAGGCAGAATATAACTTTTCTGTTACGCTGCCACTTCTCATCTCCTGTGTCTCCTCTGAGACATTCTTTTATTAGAGTCCAAAGTGTAAAGGTATCAATAGGTACCTTCTCAGGACCATGCACAGCATAATAGCCCTGGAGTCTTTCACCTACTTTGTTCCAAGTTTCAATATTAATAGTTCCATCCCTGGGAAACCAGGGGCATACTTCCTCTATAAAATCTAAAAAACGACTAATCTGACCCCGAGTCACTTTTACTCCTCGGGCAACTAATAATGATTTCAGCATTGCAGAAAAAATGCCTCGTTCAGTACTTGCAGCTTGTTCCATTTTATTTAACAATCTGTCCAATTCCCTAGTCCTTACCTCCCTATTTCAACTTACCAACCGCGGCTCGTGGGAGGAAGCGACGCCTTTGTCATTGGAGTCCGAGATTCCCGGGTTTCGGCACCAAATGACGGAGAGCAGCTCAAGACGCCTGGGACAGACGGGCTTAGGCTCTGATGGCACAAAAGCAATGTTTATTGTTGTTACAGAGTTTTTATATTCTTTTAGCTACAGGAGTATACAATACTTAAATCAGATAACATTCATGCAGCTGACAGCAATACATCATTACTTAATGTGAGAATCAAGTGTTGTTTCTGCATTAGAATTGTATAATATTATTTTTATTTTTATGATCTCCGCTATCATAGTTCTTTTTGGGAGTCCCTCTACTTAACTTGGGGAAGATCTCTGATAAGTTTACATCACTTATCGTATAGACGAACCTTCCCAGGAATGCATACTCTGTGTATAGGTGTATATATGTATATTTTGCCACATACACTGCAAGAATATCCTGCATGAGAGCAAACCAGAGAACAAGCCATGGCATGCCCGAGGAAGCGCCTGAAGAGACATTGGGAAGGCCTGACATCATCCCCCAGTGATCTTTGTTTAACGATGATGACTTTAAAGAAAATCACCATATCAACAAGACAAGGAGAGCACCGAGACATCTTGGATGATTACTGACTGGCACCAGATAACAAATAAATTAACAAGTAAATAGCAAATGTAAATTCTTCTGATAAGATTGTGAACCTGGAGTACCCAGCCATTGGGGAAACAGGGGAGGGGGAGGCAAAGGGGAGAAAACAGGGTATAAAGGCTGTCATGTTGTGTCCATAGGCGCGCTCCTATTTGTGGGACGCCCGCCATTGCAATCGCGAATAAATTTTGCTTTTATCAGAGATACCGTCCTGACAAAATTACTTGGTTATTTCCAACACTTAATTAGCTCTTTGTGGATTATGGTCAGTACAGTGATCAAAAGGCGTTCTCTCCACAGAACATGTTCTGCTCTTGGTCACGGAATGAAGAAGCTGTAGCTTATGCTTACCAGTTTCACATGGCAGTCCTTCCCTTTCAGCAGGGGCCGCATGTTTCACATGGCAGTCCTTCCCTTTCAGCAGGGGCCGCGTGTTCCCTGTTTGACCCTTTCAGGCCAGCCAGGTCTGTTTTGCTTAACAGTCTTCTTCAAATCCTCTTACAGGAGGGGCTGAATTCAGGGGCTTGAGAGGAAAGACAAGGTGATAAAAGAGATCACACCATGAAACTCTCCTCTACACCATGGAATTCTCCTCCCTGGAGACAAGACCATTTTTACCATGAGCTGTGAAGAGGGCATGTGGTCCATTCTGAGTTGTATGCTGTTCTGCACAGCAGGGACTGGAAGAGATCAGAGACTTGCTTCAGCCTGGCAGAACCATGCAAAATTCATCCTCGTCCTCTGACTTTTCCCAACTCCCAGCAGGGTGGACCTTGCCTGGGAGGGCATTTCTAGAGAACATAATGGTGCTGGTACATCACTTCAGCAAGAATTCTATTCCTCAGGCTCCACCTGAAATCCCCAAGTAGAGAGTAGGTGGTGCAAGTTTTCTTGTGCATTTGCCAAGCCCCTGTGGAAATGCTCCCCCACTCTGCTCCGTTCAGGTTGGCCTCATGTTGTGGTTTTGTGGTTTGTTATCAGTATTCCGCATCATAGCATCATGTAACCTGCTGGGAGCTAAAGATTCAATGCTGCAGTTCTGTTCTCAGAAGAGAAGAGCAAACTGCAGCTCCCAGAAGGCTTTATTATTCTTTTTCCATTTTTCATTCAGAGGGAAAGACAAAACTGATTGGGAGTCACAAGATTGTTCTGCTTTTGCCCACCTTGGCTCTCTGTGCTCCCTGGCTGTCTCACCTACAACATTAGAGTAAGGCCCTTGCTCTCAGACACCCTCTTTCATTTATGTGATTTATTATCTTCGATTCCAATGACACTGGATTATATTGCATTATCTCACAATTCATTATCTTTTTTAGCAAGTTAGTTTTTTCCTTAGGTTGTGACCACTGCTTTTTCTTATCTAGGCCCATTTCCCTACCACCCCTTGCCCCCTTCCCCTTTTCCCAGGGCGTGGGACCATGGCTCATCTTGTCCCTCTGTCACTGGACTAGGCCAGACCAGGCCAAACCACAGCATTTTTTGGGTGCATTGGAGGGGAAATCAAACCAAACTTTTTAACCAACCACACACAAGAGATTTATTAGAGTGCCATATGGAGAACCACAGCTCTTCATTAGAGAGCTCTGATGCCCTAACCTTCACAGAAAGATGAGACTGTAGGCAGAGTGGTCTGCCAAGTTTGGGCACTGCACCAAATTTTATTATTATTATTATCATTATTATTATTATTATTATTATGGGCACCATGACAAGTATGAAACTGTTCTTTAGTTTAGAAGGGTTGCATGAGGGATTAAATGCCATTATGGTCAGAATTATAATTCTTAGAATGTACTGGTTTCTTATTAAGTCTGCCGTTCTCTGTTCTGCAGTTATATATATACATAAAACAAATGAGAAGCACTGGTGGAGACACCCATCTGTACCTGTATGCAATGTGAATAGTTTGAGCACTAAAAGTTATATCCCAGAAGAAGTACTAATTTTATAGACCACACAGTGTTTAAACAGGCTTCTAGATTCTCCTCTTGGTTTCCCACATGTTTTTGAAATGCTCTATCTAGAACATTCATGCTGATTATGTTATCAATCTCCCTGAATGTATTCCTCCCCATTTACATTATCTGGAGGAAGCTTTCCCCAAACCCAGAGAATACTGAGTGGCTGGGAATGTGGAGGGGTTCAGGAAAAATCTGACAGAGATGGGGACTTGCAGTGTCATGAAATTGCACCCTTGAACACCTGCAGAACCCCAAGAACCTCAGAAAATATTTAAGTCAGTGATGTTATGGCTTAGGTAGATCTGAGGAGGCCAGAGTGCTGCTAGCCGCGCACAGGCGCCCAGCACTCGCAGCCCGCAGCAAGTCCGAGTGCCGCCGGCGCAGGGCGCAGCCCCGGGGCGGAGAGGAGGCGGCGCGGGCGGAGCAGAGCCGGGGCTGGCGGGGACAGCGCGGCGCGGGCGGCGGAGCGGAGGGATGCGGCAGTGCCGGGCCGCGGGGCTGGCGGGGCTGGCCGCGGTGCTCCTGGGTGCGCGGGGCTGCCGCCGGCGGGGCCGAACTGCGGGGCTGCGGGGGGGCGGGGCCGCGCTCATCTTTGTCCGTGCGGCTTTTTTGTGGCCTCTCTCCTTTCTATTGGAGTAAGAGGATTTTCTGAGTTTTTCTTGTTTTCTTCTCGGCAGTGGCTGTGAGCAGAGCCCAGGTGCAGCAGGAGCCGTCGTCAGGGACCAGCGAAGGCACCGGTATCAACATCACCTGCTCACACCCTAACATCCAGTCTTATGATTACATCTACTGGTACCGTCAGCTCCCGGGCAGGAGCCCCGCATTCATCGAGTTCATCCACCAAGGCTCCAAGGAGCTGCATGAGTTGGCTGGGCGGCTATCGATGTCCGCAGACCGCCGCTCCAGCGCCCTGTGGCTCGCCCGGCCCCGGTTCGGGGACGCGGCGGTGTATTACTGTGCCGTGAACCCACGGGGCGTGGACTCGGGGCTGCGGCAGAGCAAGAACCGCTTCGGGCGGGGCGGGCGGGGCGGGCGGCGGCGCAGTGCCGTCCAGGCCCGCAGGGGGCGCTGCCGCTCCTTCCGCCGGGCCGCCTCTCCTCTCCCGGCCCCACCGAGCTGACAGTGCCGGCACGGAACGCGTCCCTCGCACTGCTCGGCATCCCAGAGTAAGAGATTCCAGCTGAACACCTTCATGAACACGGCATGTCGAGATCACAGACACCTTCAAGTGGTCCCCACTGTGGCTCTGTTTTAAGACCATGAGCTTGTGTGACAGGATTCGGGGTCTTTGGAGGTGAGGTCCAGGACTGCTTTTTTATTAAACCCCCATATGCAGCTCAGCTCCACACAGCCTCAGGGTCACTGGGTGGAATGGAGGAGAGAATAAGGAAAGGTAAATGCATGAACCAAGAACTCATGGGCTGAGATAGTATATAAGGCAGACTCAATGACGAGTGTGCAAGTAAACCAAAACAATGAATTCATTGACTACATCTAATCAGTAGGCATGTATGCAGGCACATGTTCAGCCATTTCCAGGAAAGCAGGGCTCACCACGCAGAACAGTTTCTTGGGAAGACAATCACCATCTCTCCAAACATCCCTGCTGTCTTTCTTCTTCAGCTTTTGTTGCTGAGCATGACCTCAGATGGCATGGAAAGTCTTTGGTTGGTTTTGTAAGCTGTTCTGACTGTCATCTCCAAGATTCTGGTGCGCTATGAATCCTCACTGACAGGGCAGCATCAGAGACAGGAAAATCCTTTATTCTGTACAAGCACTGCAACAACTACAATCAGGATGAGGAGATCAGATAAGAACTCGGAGTAGATGCACTGCAACCCCAAGAGATGCCAGGTTCATACTGCAAGATGGATCGACTCAGAGAGATGTGCAACATTATTCTAAGCAGTTGAATGTCCGAGGTTAGTGAGAGGTGCAACGCCTCTGGAAAGAGGCTCTGAGATCCAGATCCTCACAGGGAAAATCTGTGTAGCTCCCCCAGCTGACCCAGCTGTTTAAGCCCACGTTCAAAGGCTTCAGAAGCACAGAGCAAAGGATTAAATCCTAAATGTTTTCCTTCCCCTAAACATCCCATGTCCAGTGCAATACCCAAATACATTTCTACAGCATCCCATGCAGATTCTGAAGTGTGATGGTTGTACTCCACGTCAGGGTTGAGGTAAGGACAGGGCATGTGTCAGAAAGAGAGATGGGACAGAGGGAAATGGAAGAAGGGAAAGAGAAGGAGGGGGCACACAGAGAAAAGCATCTCTGAGAGGTATGGAAGGTGGATGAGACAAACCATTTCTGTCTGGCTGGAATAAGAAAGCCACGGTCTGGATCCCACCTGGAGATGGAATTCAGGTCTGTCCTCATGCTGGGATGGACCCTAAGATCTGTGAGGGAGGACTTGGAATCCTGCAGGGAACACGGACATTTGAGACAGCAAATAATAATAAATACTTCGTAAAAGACAGGGCAGAAATGGACTCATTCAGGAAGGAGTTTCAACAGGCCTGAATATGTATTTGTACACGTGTTCCATTTGAAACTGATTGTTTATTTGATCACTTTCCCTTTTCCTTTGTTTAACTGTGCTGAAAACTCAATGCCATGACTTTCTGATGGTGCTGCTGAGAGGCATTTCAAAGCCTGAACTCAGGATGGGATTTCTCCCCAAATCTTTGACTCAAGGCACTCAGTTTTCTCTGAGGATAGACAGCTTTCAGCACCTCAAGGAACCTGCAAACAAGAGCAGATTCAGCAGAGGCCACTGCAAGGTGTGCTGGCTGTGAGGGCTGCAGGCTCATGAAGGCTGTAAATCAACTTTGGCAACTCAAAGGGAATTACAAACTTCAAAAAAAAAAAAAAAAACAAAAAAGGGGGCCCGGCCGGGCCCCCCGGGGAAGGTGATAAAGAACTCAACAGCATAAATCTTTAAGGAAAAAGGGAGACGAGGAGAGGGACCAGAACTCTTCAGCCCCTAACTGATGGGCTAACAGGGAACTACAGGTGTAGCTTTGAAGTGGGTGAGCCTGAGCTTTTTGAGTGACAAGTGAAAAGATAATAACGAAGATCAGAAATGTCTGAGAGGATCCTGTGGGAGTGTGCAAAACTTTTAAGGAAGGCTTAGGAAGGGGGAAGGATCAAAGGTGTGAGAAATGGGGGAGTGGGGAGGAGCAAGGGGGGAGGAAGGACAAAAAGTTTAAGTCAGTACACCTGCTGGGATCATCACTGCTCCAGAGAAGCCAGGCTCCACACAAGGCTATTAGCTGTGCTGAGGGTCGATGCTAACATTAATGGGGTGCATGAATGTGGGAATGCTTGTGAGCCAGTGGGTGAAGGTGTGTGCTTCCACTGGGGAACTGCAGTCCTGATTAGCCTGAGAGGAGGAACAGGGCTTGGCTCTGAGCTTCGGGCTTATAAGAGAACTGGTGTTGTTACCTGTGGGTGTTGCTATGGCAGTGAGTGCCCTGCCTGTGCAGCCAGCAGAGTCATTTCCAGCAGCTCTGCCGTCTTGGGGCTGGGAGGTGGTTTTCTGCCTCTTGCTCACTCACAAACAGGAGGCTCGGTCTCAGCATGCACCACAGCTCTCTCGTCCTCACTGTCTTCCTGGGACAACTGCTGGGTAAGTGCTGGCTTTTAGTCAAGGCACCCATCTTCTCCCCACAAAGCGCTCACCAGCCTCACTGGGCTTTGTGGCAAACAGCTCCTGAGTAACAATAAACCTTGGGCAAATACTGACTGGCTGTTGTGGCTTTGCACCACTTCTCTCAAGATACTGCTGCTGTTGGAAATGACAAGGGAAGATGGAGGAGAGAGAACTCAGAATCCTCTCCTGCTTTTCTTTTCCCTTCTCTCTCTCTCTCTCTGCCTTTCTCTTCTGGCCCAACAGCTGCCACCTCCAGAGATCACAGCCATTCCTGCAGTCCCACATTTCAGCCTTTCCAAGAGAAAGAAGCAGATCCTGTCAAAGTCACAGCAGTGACATGAGTGACATCTCATAAACACAGCATTAAGGGGATACTGACTGATGCATATGGGCTGTGGTCTTCTCTGTTCTCCTGGTTATCAGCACAGCCAGAGATCACACTTGTCACCATTCAACTCAGCTTTGTTTATACCGAGGGACTTAGGAGCCTTTATGTTGACAGGACTGGAGAAACACAATGCATCTTTTCCCAAAAGCTCCATGGGTCCCTCACCCTCCACAGCCATGACAGCTGTTCCATGTTCCTCTCAGCATGGGTGCAGCATAGGATCTCCTCTGCCCACAAGCACAGAGGTCCTTCCAAAACCATCTTCTTATGCACAGGAATCAACACCTTTCTGCTGGACAAAGGACAGGGAGCCTTCTCTCCAGCTGCTTTGTATCCTCTCCATGGTGGCAGCCTGGAACCTTCCCTGCAGAGCTGCTCACCTTTGCTTTCTTCTTCCAGGTGCCGTGGGGCAGACCATTGTCAGCCAGCAAGAAGGACAGGTCACAGTGCAGGAGAGAAACACCTTCCAGACCACCTGCACATACCAGGCAACTAACTTTTATGCCTTGTTTTGGTACCAGCAGAAGAAAGGCCAAGCTCCCCAGCTGGTCACATATCAGGCAGCAGCAGGCTCCAAGCAGAACGGCCGTTTCACCACGTGGCTGAACACCACCGGGAAATACAGCCTGCTGCGGCTGGCAGAAGTCGAGCTGTCTGACAGCGCCTTGTACCTCTGTGCTGTGCAGGACACCCTGGTGCAGGGAGCTTCCTCGGCCGTGCAACAACCCCAGGGAGGGAGGAGGTGTGTGTGCTGGAGGCGGAGCTCTGGGGAAGGGGCCCTCAGCTCTCCTGGCAGCGCTGCTTCCCTGTGCACATAGAGATCTGCAGCCCAGCGTCCCTTTACACACGTGAAGCACCCGCAGCCCGCAGCAAGCCCGAGTGACGCCGGCGCAGGGCGCAGCCTCGGGGCGGAGCTGGCGGCGGCGGCGGAGAGGAGGCGGCGCGGGCGGCGGAGTGGCGGGATGCGGCAGTGCCGGGCCGCGGGGCTGGCGGGGCTGGCCGCGGTGCTCCTGGGTGCGCGGGGCTGCCGCCGGCGGGGCCGAACTGCGGGGCTGCGGGGGGCCGGGGCCGCGCTGATGTCTGCCCGTGCGGCTTCTTTCTGACCTTTCTCCTTTCTATTGGAGTAAGAGGATTTTCTGAGTTTTTCTTGTTTTCTTCTCGGCAGTGGCTGTAAGCAGAGCCGAGGTGCAGCAGGAACCGTTGGCAGCGACCACCGAGGACATCGTAGTCAGCATCACCTGCTCACACCCCAACATTCAGTCTTACAGTGATATATACTGGTACCGTCAGTTCCCGGGCCGGAGCCCCGCATTCATCGGGTTCATTTATGAAGGTTCCAAGGACGTGCCGGACCCGGCGGGGCAGCTGTCGGTGTCGGCAGACCGCCGCTCCAGCGCCCTGCGGCTCGCCCGGCCCCGGCTTAGGGACGCGGCGCTGTATTACTGCGCCGTGGACCCACGGAAGCGAAGCCGGGGCTGCGGCCGGGCACGAACCGCGGCGGGCGGCACAGCTCGGCCCGCAGGGGCGCTGCGGTGCTGGAAGACTTCCACCCAGCCCAGCGTTCAATGATCTGCTCGCGATTGCTTTCCAAGAGCATGAGTTTTTTTAACAGGGTTTTGTCTTGCGCCAAACACAGCACCTTTGGTATAGAGATGACTTCCTGACATTACAGCAAGTATCCGCACTTAATGCTCATTGTAATGACCCCTCTTTTTAACTCATTTCTTGCCACAGTGCTAATTTATCCACACAGGATCCTCCAAGAGAAGAGCTGGTGGGCACCTGTTCTCACTGCCATTGAGAAGGCATTAAAAATACTCAGCTTTAGTGCTTAGCTGAGTCAGGGGGTTTCTGCAGCCCGTGTTGAATCAGGAGGCTATGTGCACATATACCTGACAGCTGAGCAGAGGAGAAGGGCAGTAGAAGCAATCCCTTATCCATTGGCAGTAGAGGTGCAGGTATCTGAGTCTGGCTGAGTTTCGGATGGCAGGGGTAGCTCACTGAGGACACTTGCTCTTTGCTGGGACTGGCTGTGAGCATCAGGAAAGGCAAAGTGAGGGAAGTACATAGCAGTCACTTTTGGGACTTCTTACCTTATCACTAAGTGACCTTCACAACCAGCAAATTCAGCTATGGCCTGACCACACAAGGCAGTTGTACTTGAAGACCTCTGTAGGTCCCCTGCAATCATTCCGTTCCATGGAAGAAGCTCCCAGTGCTGAAAAGTCTGTGCCTGACCATAGCTAACCCTCACCACAGGACAGAATGATTTGATTTTTCTCTTGAGAGCTTTAACCACCAGTTCCTCTTCACTCTTGAGATCCTTACTATGGAAGAGGTGTGCCCCTCTGGAGCAGCAGAGAGAGCTTTGCTCCACCCCCGCTGTTGAAGTCTAGAGGCTGCTTATGGCTGGCAGAAAGAGAAGCTGAGAACTTGCCAGCTTCAGCTCTCTCATTCCAAGCACTGTGTGATACCCAGTGAAGGCAAGAGTGTGACATGGTCCTGCTTTTTCTGACAGCCTTGATGGGACTGGCAGACTTCGGTGAGATGTGATATTCTGAGGGGGAAGACTGGGGCAGGAGAGCACCCTGTCATTTCTGGAGGGGGGGGGAAGTACAAATGCTGTCTTCCTGGTAGAACTGGAAATATTTTCTGTTGATAAAGCAGGACCTGCAGATGGGTACAGCAAATAATCTGGCAGATGTCAGCAGCAATGACAGTATGGAGATGAATAGGTCTCTGGCCTTCTCTTTTGCAGATACCTAGCAGTTTAGATGCACTATTCATAGGTATGTATGGTGAAAGAAGATTGCTGCTAGGGAACAGACCAGAACAGTAGATAGGAGCTTGTGTCCTCCTGGATGTACTGGAGAAAATGCTGTTAGTCTGTGTGGAGATGGGTGTAATCCTTGATAGAGCAGGAAAGAAGGCTGAGTCCGTGCAAGAACTTAGATATGGCTCAAGGACAAAGCACGGACAGAATATGTAGGATGAAGCATGGGGTAAATTTCACAGTAAGAAATCACAAAGTGAGGTGGGACATAGCTCACCTCTTCTGCTGAAAGAAATAAAGAGTTAATACAGCTCAGGAATTGACAGAACAGATGGATTCAGAGCCTAGAGTGATAAAACAAGTAAGCTGACAGCCTTGGGTATGAGTAGCAAAAGAAAAGTGCATGTATACTTAGCTCAGGATTTTACAGCCTGTGAAAATGAAATGTAGAGCGGAGACAGTGAGCAGGTTGGCACAGTGATAGATGCATGAGAGAGAGAAAATGGATATATAGTCAAGCTGTGCTGAAATGTGTTTCTGGCTTTACAGGTCGTGCACAGAAGGACTTTGTGCTGCAGTATCCACAAGAAACAGCCATTCAGAGAGGACACGAGACAAGTCTGCACTGCAATTTCTCCACCAGCAGCTCGGTTTTCTACATGTACTGGTACCAGCAGCACCTGGCCCAGGCCCCTCAGCTGCTGCTGTGGGTGAATGCATTCAGGCCTCGTATGAGTTCTGGGAGGTTCTCCTCTGTGCTTTCTATGGAAAACTCCCATGTTCTTCTCCACGTGCAGGATGTCACGTTTCAGCACAGAGCTGTCTACTTCTGTGCACTGAGCACACGCTGATGCCTGCAGCATGCAGCTGTGTACAGGAAGGTGTGGGTGCTCTGAGAAGCAGCTGCCTCTCACCACCACTCACTCACTCATGTAGCTCTGAGCCCAGCCTGCCCAGCAAGGATACGTGGGGCTTATAGTGAGGCTGTCTCTGCCTACCCAACCTGTGCAACAGGGACAAGTGTCATTAAGAAATACTGTTTGTTTTTTACAGATGTGTCCAAGCTCATGGGAAATGAGTAAAGGGTTTAAGGAGAGAGACTAACCATCAGAAATGCTATTGAGGGTTGCTACTTTGGGTCATGGGAGTATTAACAGGACATATCGACCTGCTTGTCCTTCTGTTGTGCTTTGCACTGTCTCTGCTAACTGTTCCTGTCAGGGAAGGGAGCTCTTTATGGGATGTCACAGTTCAGCAACCAGAGGCCTCTGTCATAGGAAAGTCCTTTATTATTCTTCTACTACATCTGCTATTATTAATCACCCAACACAGCAGCACACACACACACATCTATATATATGATTGCTCATTTCTTGCATACAAGTCTCAACAGTTCCAAGGCCTCCCTAAGCAACCAAATCTAAACTTATATCTTGTTTCTAGGTCCAGTGTTTCTTCTTGACCAAAGCGTACAGTTCCCTATTGTAAAAGATCACCACCCATGACTGCCACCTCAGCACAGCAGCAGCAACAAACACACTAACTAAGCAGACCTTGCTTTTGCCGTTCAGGCCTGTGATGCCCATGGCCTCATGGGAGTCAGGCTAACTGTTGGATCCCCATGGGGACAGACCCCCAGCGAGCTCTACACAGTCCCCTTCACCTCCCCCTTCTTTATTTACAAAAAACGTGCGATTCATTGCATCTTGTCTCATTTTTTGCACATATTGCAGAAGACAAGGAATACAAATTAAAATGCAAAGGAGGGCAATCAAGCCCACAACAGCGATTTTTAACAAGCTTTGAAGGCACCCAGCTAAGCCTCCAAGCAATCCCCTGAATACATCCCATCCATCTTGCACTTGAAATTTCTGGACTCCAATTTGCAGATCCTGCATACTTTTATGGATGGATTCAGAGTGATCGGAAAGATTCATACAACAGAGACCGTCAAAATCCTCACAGCCACGGCCTTGTGCAAGCAGTACGAAACCAATTGCTGCCCTATTCTGAAGTGTGGCATGTCTGATGGAATCTACATCTAATAGCAAACCACTCAGGGATAAGGAAGTAGCATTAATTTGTTTCACAAGCCAACACCTTAACTTATTGAGTGTTGTAAGGGCTTGGGCAGAAGCAACTCCTGGGACCAAAGCAGAAGCAGCTATAACGGCTCCAGGGTTCCAAAACTCTACTGTATCTTTACAATCAGCCTGAAAAGCATTTGGGGCTCTTAGTGCACTTCAAAATCATCGTGGTATTAGGTGTTAACAAGGTTAATCTACCTAAAGAACAAGGTCCTCCTTTATATGTGAGGGGATTGAGGGCCATGCCCTATCACCGCAGATAAGAAAAACACCTGCAGGCAAGCTGAGTGGGCAGTTAGTAGATCGAGAAATATTAGGAGAAGTATAGTTACACCATGCTGTATGATTTCTATATGCAGCTAAGGTAGAATTAACACACTGACCAAGTTTGATTTTTCCCCCCTAATCAAAGTACAGGCAATAGTCCATTTTAATAGATCCCAATAATTCCAATTCCTGCGGTTCCAGGATTATGGGAGGAAGGTATGGCACCCAACCGTCCCGCTGATCCACAGCAGCGCTGGTGTTGGAAAGCACTGCAGATCGCACTTCCGCAGGGATGGGCCAAGAGTCTAACAGTTGGCCCACCAGACAGGTTGTAAACGGATTTCCAGGAGAAACTGTCAAAAGACATAGGGTATCCTGTCTGGTCTTGTCTGCCAAGGTGACCCAGATGTTCTGTTTAGGTTGGGGTGGGAGCCAGACAGTATATGTGCAGGAAATCAGGTAACAGCAGCAGATGGAGAGGTGGGGTGGACCCATCTCGCTGATGTCCACTTTGGGCCAGATCCTGTGGAAACACAAGCATATCCTCTACCCCACTTTAGTAATGGGTAAGGTCCTTCCCATTGCAGGGAATCTGGATTTTTGACCATTACCAAAGCCTTTTGTTTCTGTATGTGTTGTAAGGTCTGTGTGAAATGCCTACAAACAGGTGGCCCTTCTTCGGTCCAACGGTTTAAAAAATTCAGAATGTAACATGCCTTTGCAAGCCTTTCTTGAGGCGTAAGGCCCCCACTCCCTCTCTTCTGTTTAATAAGCATGTTTTTAAGAGCTGCATGTGCCCATTCTATTATGGCCTGACCCGTAGGTGATTGAGGTATACCTGTCTTATGCTGGATGCCCCATTGTTGAAAGAATAACTGAGTGGTACGGGCAATGTAACCCGGACCGTTGTCCGTTTTAATGACTTGGGGGACTCCAAGAACTGAAAAGGCAGCGAGAAAGTGCCTGCACATATCCTGGGCCTTCTCTCCCGTATGCGGCGAGGCATATATACAGGTGGAAAATGTATCTATGGAAACACGGACATATTTAAGCTTACCGAATTTGGAAAAATGTGTAACATTAGATTGCCACAGCTCTAGAGACTGTAGGCCTCTGGGATTAACCCTCATAGATGGGGTGGGGGAAAAAGGTTGACAATCAGGACAGGACTGTATGATGTCTTTGGCCTGTTCCTTGGTAATTTGAAAAGAACGACACAAAGCTTGGGCACTTTGATGGTAAAA